GCTTTCTTTCCATTCCCTCTACTGCCAATGGAAAGAGAGACACTGTTCCTAGAGATAATTCAGAGACTGGGTGTCTGAATTCACACTGAATCTCCTTCTAGAGGAGCCTTGCCCTGTCCAATGACCGCACAGGAGGCTGGACTTAACCAACATCTCAGAAATGCAATTTAGAAAGCTAAAGCTAGCATTGTAATATTGTTAACATTAAACCAGGTAGCACTTGGACAGAGTTTCAATCTCTGTATAAGCAAAAAATGATCCCAGTTCTCATTTGATTGAATATTCCCCAAAATATTTGGGTTTGTTCCAATTGGAATGAAAACTTGTTTTTAAAAGCTGAAATTTCCACAGGGAAAGTTCCAATTTCTGAACACCTCTGAATCTGCAACAGTTTCACCAAAAGAAACTTTGGATCCTGAGTTTAAATCTATTTAGTATCACTTTAGTATCTGACTGTAAATTGAGTGACATCTGATTTGGAGTAACATGAGAAAAGCTATAATCAAGTCAAGCTCAATATAGGCTAAAATAGATGCTACATTTGCCATATAATGGACATATTCCCTTTCTTCCATCCTCTTGCCCAAGAAATATGAGAGTACTTGAAAATGCTACATGTATTTTTTATTCCAGTGTCTTCCGTTTAAGAATTTTCTGCTTTGCTTCATTCCTCTCATGTTTTCAATATCTCATATACGTGTTTCTATGTCCTTAGCCTGCTTCACATAATCTTGCCGGGTAAAATAAGAAAATAAAACTTCAAGCAATATTTTATATTGAAATCAGTGGAGTTCCACATGCTGAACTGGCTCCAACAGTCTAGAAACGACAAAATAAAAATGTGCACTTCCAAAAGACAAATTGCAAAATATTTCAAACTTTACCTGACCACTCCGTGAAAGCACTGAACTACATTCTGCAAGGTCTTCTTTGAGCTTTTCAATCTCTTTCTTCAGCTCAGCATTTTCTTGATTTAGTACATAGAGTTCTCTCTACAACCCCAAAAGTATTAAATGTCAAATTAAACACATAGAAGACAAAAATATATTTCAGCAAAATCTGTAGACATTAGAAATGGTTTCAACTTTTAATTATTCTATGTGACAGCCATGCATGATACATTTTTTGCATAGCATTACCACATGGTAAATTCACCCACCGAGGAGCAGTTTCAGTGAAAGTAAATTACAGTAAAAGGATTTTTGAAATGAGGCAGTAGTGTTTCCAAACACATACAGTGTACCATAAATTGCACAGGGCTTTCCATAGTTATGTCAGTTCATTATACATGCAAGGTCAGAGCCTATGTCAACGCACAAACATTTTGGGTTTTGTACCAGGTGTGATCTTAGTAACTGTTATTCCCTTTTCTGAAAAGTTTACCATGTGAGGACAGTTTCTGGCACACTGCTACTCTTCCCTCTTTACACTTCTTCAGCAAGGAAGAGGGCACACCTCTTCTACCTCCCATCTGCTACGTACTTCCTCCACACCAATGAATCCTAAATGGGCATAAAGCCCACGTAACTAAATCCAGTATTTCCTGGACAGGGAACACAACAGAATGAGAAGGAAACACAGAAGCGTAGTCAGCTCCAGCCATCCACAATTAGAAGATGGCTCCGTTCAAGTCATTAACTACTCAAGACATTTAGACCAGCTGAAGATAACGTAAAACAAAAGCCAGATGATGATAATGACCTCTTCCAGCTATACAATCCAAATATTTATGATTGGAGAACCAAAACCAACTTTCAGAAAACCTCACACCAATCTGAATGTACTTAACCTATTAATTACATTTTAATAGTTTGTAATATTGAAGCCGTAATTTCTCATCAGTAATTTACAGACCAAACCAAACTTCACTGAAACCACCTCTTTGACAGCCTATGGAAACCTCTATTCCTGCACCAACGACCACAGACGGCACACTGAGGTAATGAGCCAATTAGTTCTAGAACCAAGCAGTTCTAGACAGAAGAGCGCTCTTCACACAGGTTCTGGCTCTTGCCCAGCTCATTGTCACTGAAGAAATGCTAATCCCTCGGGTGCCGTAAGGTCTTATAAAATGGGCTGTGAGTGGACAAAGCAGTGGAATTAACTCATTCAATTTTACCTGCATCACACAAAACTGAAACTCATCTGTTAGTGGAGAATCTCAGAAGAGGAAGACTGGTTTTATCAGTCTTCATCTTCTATACAAATTAGGTCTCAGTTTTGCCTTCCCTCTTCCAACACTGCCATAAGACTTACTTTATTGCACTGGTTCTTAATCTGCCACTGAAAAACTACGTGTGGAACATTCTACTCATACGGTCTGCAAACCCGTAAAGCCATTTAAACTGAAAAGGAAATATTACTCTTATTTTCTGTAATCAAGACCTCCTTCACAACTCCCCAAATACTAACAGCTGTAAGAAAGCCTTCTCCATACCTCATGGGTGTCCCTAGACATAATAATGTCCTTATGCTGTTTCTCTTGAAAGTCCTTGAGCTTTATCAGCTCCTCCTCTGCTTTAATGCACTCTTCATCAGCACTTAATTTACAGAGAAGAAGGTCAGCTTTTGCTTTTTCAGCTTTTTCAACTCTTTCCTGGATAGTAAAAAGAAAAAGATATTTTTTTTCTTCCATGGGAACAAACAAAACCTTAAGTAAGCCCTTTATATTTATTTATTTTCAACACTTTGGATAGATATTTTTCTTAGACATGTTTATTTATTTTTAACCCTTTGGATAAATATTTTTCTTAGACTTGCAAGTGTAGTCACCACTGAGATCAACACAAGCATGTACCATTGAAGAACAGAGAACAAGTTAGACAAACGTTATAATCGGGGGAGAGTTGATTTGGTTTCAGAAGGATAGACTAAACGCCTTCCAAGTATCATTCAGCTAATTTCCACCATTCTGTGTGCTTTATAGAACTTGCCTTCCATTTCTTCAGTTCTCCATTAAGTCTTTCCATCTCATCTTTTGATGTGCCAAAAGGGTCAGGGGTTGTCATATTCTGGAGAGAAAAGAAGAGGCACTAATGGAGTTTTCCTCTCCATTAAGCAAAAACTGAGACACATCAAACAATTCAAATGAGTCTTCAGAATAAAGGGAAAATAAACCCTCTACAATTGGATGGAGCATTTCGCCATGGAAGGTTTCAATGTGTGTCCATGAATGAAAGTCCAATGTATTTTGCCTGTGTGCCCACCTGCTGTTTTTCTCTAATTATGCAGGCAAGATATGTGGTAAATCAAACATTTTGAGAGACCGATTGTATTTCATAATTTAATCTTCCTAGAATCTGCACACCAGGATAGTGTATACCACATAATTTTTTAAAAGTGCATTGAGACACTTAGGCCAAATCATTGAACTATTTTAATGGCTGGATATGACAAAAAAATAAGAAAATAGGTCCTGGTCAGTAATCACTATTTGCTATCCAACTGAGAATATTCACAGGCTAATATTTTGATAAATAATAAAAGCAAATTGTCTCTGTGTTCTTCCACACGGAACTAAGCTTCTCAAACCCACAAATGTTAATCTATATGCTTTCTCAGCAGTTCCTCTAAGAGAATAAAGAATATTCTGTATAAAGAATTCTGTATTAGGCCTGTATAAAGAATATACAGGCCTAATGAGAAAAAAAAAATCAAAATGGGATGCTTCCAAGCTCAGGGACATTAAAGGTAACAACAAGCAGATGGAAGGTGATAAAAGAAGCATTTCAGAATTTAAGTACTTCAGGGCAGAAGTACACAAGCACAGGAAAACTACCCCTGGATAAAGCCCAAGAAGAGAGAAAATTTTCTCTGTTCTGTTTTGTTTCTATGGCTGCAATATTCTGCAGAAAAGAAAAAAAAAATCCAAAGAGACCTGCTGAAACAATCCCTCCCTTTTACTTAAGATTACATAAAACTTGAATGTGAACCATGAAATTTAGGCATGGAAAAGGTCTAAATTAGATAATCTTGTTAATTCTCTTGGTAATGCTGGGTATTTCCTAAAAACAATAAAATACAAAATAATTTTTTCCACTACTTTGTCCAGTTTCAAATGCCTGTTAAGCAACAGGGAAATCCCCATCTGTGTATAACTTAAAACCGGAAAAAAATTCCTTCACCCAAGGGACTGAGTGCAGGAAAGCAGAAGGATGCACGTGCCACAGCTGGAAGCTGGTAAGAAGGAATGCCTGTTTTTTTACTGAAAAAAATGATCTAAGACAACAGTTTTCAACCTGAAGGAAAGAAAAAAATAAGAAGGAAAACACAAGAAATCCCAGGGGAAGTCCCATCCAAACTACTTGCCACACTGCAGGGCCTGAATCAAGGGAGGCGCCAGGAAAAAGGAAATTCCCCTACGAAACCTCCACAGAGACAGATAAGCAAGTGAGATAGGACAGGAAAATTCTAACAGAATCCATAATGCAGACACTTTGGAATGGGACTCTCCCTATGGAAACAGTAGGTGGTAATGAGGAATGTCCAAAGTATGAAAGGATGGAACAAGGTGAGACGAGGAGTTTCAGAAGCACTGTCCTAGCAGTCCTAGCACAAACCTTCATTCAGAGATATCATTGTCAAATATAGATATTTTTTTTCAGGCAGCACATCAGGAAATACTTACAAACCCGTTATCTTTTAAAGATAGTGGGGGACTCGTTAAATCCATTGAAACCTGAGGGAACAGGAAAAGAAATTACAACATTGTGTGTATTGGCTTTTTTTCTTTTTTCAGCAGAATAGAATAGCAGAAGCTGTGTTGAGATAAAAGAAGTTTTAAATGTAAATGTTGTATCATTTTATAGGCAAAAGTGATATATATTGGGTATCTGAAGCCTCCTTCCTTACTAAGCATAAAAGCCAGAGACATTATGTGAGGAATTCTGCATTGTACAACTTAATTTTGCAGTCCTGAAACTTACCTTTACACTGCTTTTGTACTGTTATACACATGCTTAACATCCTCTGTGCTTAACAGAGACAACCCTTAAACCTGCTTAACACACCGGAAAACACTTCCTTTACACAGCAGACTAGAATCTGTTGCCACAACATTTAGTGGAGACAGGTAAGAAGGAATTTAGACGAGTTCACGAGCTCACGGGCCGCTCATCTGCAAATGGATGCTAAGGATCCAGCCTGTGGACGCTGCCGGGGCAGGCACAAAGGTTTTGGCACAGTGGGCAAGCCACGCTCTAAGCAGGGCTGTTGTCCCAGGGTACATCAGTGCCGTCTAACAACTGCCGAGACCCGGTTATCACAGAATCCCAGAATCCCAGACTGGTGGGGTGGGAAGGGCCCTCTGGAGCTCCCCCAGTGCCACCCCCTGCCAGAGCAGGGGCACCTCCAGCAGTGGCACAGGACGGCGTCCAGGCGGGTTTGGGATGGCTCCAGAGGGGGAGACTCCCCCACCTCTCTGGGCAGCCTGTGCCACTGCTCTGCCATCCTTACAGGGAAGTTCCTCCTCATGTTTAAATGGATCTTCCTATGTTCAAACAAAGCTCTCCAGCTTTATCTCCTTGTGGTTAAGACCACCAGGAAGTTTCACAATGGGTTTCAAAGGCCTGAATATTTCCTGAAAACAGAGTGTTGACAGTGGTTTTGGAATCGCCTCTGTCTATTCCCCGTGTGGTGAGATTGTTCCGGTACCCGCTCACCCTCTCTGCCAACGGGCTTCATCCCACAACGTAGTCTCTTTGCAGCCTCCTTTGGGTCTGTCTCGGTGCCCTGGATAATGTGTCACCCAAAGAGAGACCTGGCTCGTGGGCATCCTGTTGTCCTCCAGGACTCCCTGGTCCCTTTCCACAGAGCTGCTCTCCAGCAGGTCACCCCCAACCTGTACTGGTGCAGGGGGTTATTCCTCCCTGGGTAGTAGCATCCTGACCTGGCTGGACACCTCTGACGCTCTCACCTGGAAATTCCGAGCTTGGTTTTTACCTGACACCACCGTACCCGCTGTGTTCGACAGCCAGGTTCCACATTGAGGCCGCCTTTGGATAACAGTCCAGGAACCCCTTTCTGGTTTGCGTTAAGTAACCAAAATTAACTCACTTATGTGCCGATTCCCGACTTAGGAAAGTGCATAAATGAGAAACACCTTTGCTTGGCCTCCCCACAGGCCACCCCAGCCAGCAGCCCAGGCCCACCTCCGCACCGCCACCCTTTCTCTTGCGGTCCGGGGCGGGGCGGGGGGGGGGAACCCGAAAACACGGCTCTCTGGCAGCCCAACCGCCCGCCGCAGCCCCTCGCCTCCCCGGGCGAGGTCGGGGCACCCAGCCCGTCCCAGCCCCGCTGCCCGGTGCGGGGGAGGCCATGGGGGAGGCCGCGCCAGGCCGAGCGCCCCCGGGCTGAGCGGACAACCCGGCGCTCCCGCAACCTTACAGCAGCGTCCCTGCGGAGGCAGCCGGCCGCGCTGCGACGGGCGCTTCCCCCCGCCCCTACACGGCCACCGGTCCCGCGGCGCCGCGGCGGCCCTCAGCTGGGAGCCGGGCTGCCCACACCCTCTCCGGGTCCCCGCCGAGTCACCTCCCACCGCCACCGGGGATTTCGCTTTCGCTTTCCCGCTGGCGGAGGAGCGCCTCGCCCCCCCCCCAACACACCCGGTTCCACCCTCCTCCCCGGTCCCGGGCGCCCGGCTCCGGCTCCCTGCGGGCGACTCCGGCTCCTCTTCCTCGAAGTGACGGGAAGGAAGGTGGCGCCGTCCTCCTCCGCCGCCGCCTCAGCGGAGGGCAGCGAGGCCGGACCCCCCCCCCCCGCCACCCCGCCACGGCGGCAAGGCGGCTTCCCGCCCGCCCTTCGCCCCCCTCAGCTAAGGGGGGCCTCGGCTGCCGAGCCCTGAGGCCCCCTCCGGGGGGAACGGCCCGCGGGCAGCACCCCCGCGTGTAGCGTCCTACAGAAAATGGGGAAATGCCAGAAAAGGTAGGGAGCGGGCGGGCTGGGAAAGGGCGCTGGGCGCTGCGCCTTCAGGGAGGCACGAAGGCTTCCAGTCCGCCATCGCCTCCCTCCCGCTTCACTGCTTGTTCGCCCATCTCTTCACTTGGCTGGAAGCATCTGGTTTGGCCTCTGGGTTTTTCTGTGAAGTAAAGTGACTAAGACTTGGCGTCCTCAAGCGAGTTCTGGTGAATTTGTTACATTTGTTTGTTTGTTTTGAACCACGTTCTCTGGGATTATGCATTGGTGTTATAAGGAATGGGTTGTCTTTGCTGGGCTGTGCCAAAAGGCGTAAAACATTCAGTGGCAGAAGGACCCTCTGCTGATGCAGGTGCCACTTTCAAAAAAATAATTTCTGAAAAACCAAGTGGCATGTGGTGGCCACGGCTGCCCTTTCCCTGGGACGGCAGTAGTCCACCATCTCTGAGGGAGCCTGCCATCCCTGAGGGAGCCTGCCATCTCGGAGGAGTGTTTTTTAAGTCCTTTGGCTGGCCATAGTGTGTGCTTGGTGAGTTGGATCATAGAATCATAGGGTCATGGAATGGTTTCAGTCAGAAGGGACTTTAAAGATCATCTCCTTCCAACCCCCTACCCTGGGCAGGGACACCTCCCACCAGCCCAGGTTGCTCCAAGCCCCGTCCAACCTGGCCTTGAACACCTCCAGGGATGGGGCAGCCACAGCTTCTCGGGGCAACCTGCCCCAGGGGATCACCACCCTCGGAGTGAAGAATTTCTTCACAATATCTCATCTAAATCTCCCTTCTTCCAGTTTGAAGCCATTCCCCCTCATCCCATCACTACATGCCCTTCTAAAAAGTACCCCCCCAGCTCTCCTGGAGCCCCTTTAGGCACTGGAAGGGGCTCTGAGGTCTCCCCTTTTTGGCCTTCTCCTCTCCACGCTGAACCCTCCCAACTCTCCCAGCCTGTCCTCCCAGCAGAGGGGCTCCAGCCCTCCCAGCATCTCCGGGGACTCCTCTGGACCCGCTCCAACAGGTCCATGACTTTCCTATGTTGGGGACTCCAGCGCTGGACACAG